TATAGAGAAGAAGTGCACAATGCTAATATTTTTTTTAAATAATGCATAAAAGATACATTAAATCAATAAAGAAAACATTACACACACTACATACCATGTATTTGACGCACACACGCATGCATACTATTTATTGTCAAACTTTTGTTCTTGACGTCTGTTGTCAAATTGAGAATAGATTAAATATTGTTTGTCTTTGTTAATATTTTTTATAGTGTAGTCTTGGTGAAATTTGTGATTGTAGAAGTATAAAATACAATCATAATAGTGTACAAACTTACAATTCCAATTAATTATAGTCGAATTTCGACTACTGCGGGACCTCTAGTACTAATAAGTGGGCTAATTATTTATTACTTTACATTGTTTTTTATTGCTTAGATGGGTGGACGAGCTCACAGCCCACCTGGTGTTAAGTGGTTACTGGAGCCTATAAACATCTACAACGTAAATGCGCCACCCGCCTTGAGATATATGTTCTGAGGTCTCAGTATAGTTACAACGGCTGCCCCACCCTTCAAACCGAAACGCATTAATGCTTCACGTTAGAAATAGGCAGGGTGGTGGTACCTACCCGTGTGGACTCACAAAAGGTCCTACCACGAGTAATTACGCAAATTATAATTTTGCGGGTTTGATTTTTATTATACGATGTTATTCCTTCACCGTGGAAGTCAATCGTGAACATTTGTTAGTATGTATTTCATTAGAAAAATTGGTACCCGGCGGCGGGATTCGAACACCGGTGCATCGCTCAACACGAATACACCGGACGTCTTATCCTTTAGGCCACGACAACTTCAAATGTATTCTGGTTTGATGGATTGTCCTGTCGTACTATAGAACTAAGACTTACAACTCATGTCCCAAATTAGGTGGCGGCATACCTATATGTTGATTGTATCTATGGGTTCCGATAACCATTACAAATCATTTGAGCCGTGAGCTGGTTCATATGGTTAAGCAATAAATAAAAACAAAATGAAATACAAACCGTCGTGCTTGATATAATTGCTGCGAATTTCCGGGAAATCAATAGTACGTACAATACTGATGTTTCATAAGTAAGAGAATGTGTTTGAAGATACATGACAAAACAATAAGCTACATTGCTCATGTTCGCATGTATTAAACATTCAATCAAGCCTAGATTAATAATAACATAGTGATATTGTTCCAAACTATTGTTAGAGGGTTCAGGTATAATGTGGTAACATGCTTAGATTACTATTAGTTTGGTGATAATTGATTAGGTTTGTGAATTTAATGTCACAAATGTTTAATAGAATTATTTGGGTACATCAATATGATCAATCCAGTAGAATATTAATCGGTTAACAGATATGTATTTTTTTAGGTCGACTGACTTGGTGGAGCATTAGTTGACTGTTGTCGACGAGGGTCGTGGGTTCGATTCCCACATTGGGCAAACATTCGTGTGAAGAAAAGGTTTGTTTGCTCTTTCTCTGAGTGTTTATTATCTATAAACATATGTATAAGTATGTATGTCAGTCTCTAGTACCCATAAGATAGGGAATCCTTATTAGAGACAGAACGGCCGTGCGTATTTGTCCCCAGCTATTTATATTTATATATTTATTTAATATACGTATCAGTAACCAACCATTCATCAACAGAAGCGGGTCGCTTTAACTTTAGTGATGTCCATTATGGAACGTGATTGTGTATTTGAATCGTTTGAATAAATTACTGGTGGTAGGACCTCTTGTGAGTCCGCACGGGTAGGTACCAACCATCACTTTCCCTATGTCTATTTCTGTCGTGAAGCAGTAATGGGTTTCGGTTTGAAGGATGGGGCAGCCGTTGGTTGAACTCAGACCATAGAACTCATATCTCAAGGTAAGTGGCGGCATTAACGTTGTAGATGACTCCGGTAATCACTTAGCACCAATTAGGCTGTGCGCTCATCCATCTATCTATGCAATAAAAATAAAAAAATAAACATTAAAATTATTATTATAGTTAAATCAAATCAAATCAAATCAAATTAAATCAAATCAAAAAAGTTTTATTCAACATAAATGAAAGTACATACTTGTTGAACGTCAAAAGAACTACCGCCAATTCACAAGAATTAGCCTCCGTCCTGAGAAGAATTGGCAAGAAACTCAGCGGACATGTCTTTTTTTTTTTTTTTAAATATTAGATTTTCTATTTTATTTTAAATATTAGTTTTTTTTTAAATATTAATTTTTACAGTAAGTAATTATAACATAACAATTATTACAATATTGAAATGCGCGGAGCGAGCAACTCATTCCCACTTTGTGCAATCTTCTATCTATCTAATCTTCTTGTAAATTTTCGAAAACTACAATAACATCGTAATTTGATAGCAAGCGTCTTAATGTTAATTGTGAAACGTACACCTCAGTCGAAGAGTGCTCGTATTACGGACTCGACCTCCTTTGTGAGTCGTTCGACTAAAATGAAAAGAAAACTAATGAAAGGATTTCCGTAGCCTCCATTGAGAGCTGTGAATAGCTACGATTTTTCAATGGAAACGTTCCCTAGCGGGTTTTTTTTTCTATTATTTTATTTCAGCAGGAAGTTGTAATATAAGAACTTTTAAAGACTTCCGGATCTGCAAAGGTTTAGAACAAAAAAAAAATTACTACAAGAAAAAACTTAATAATGGTACCAACGCTCTGTATTGAATACATTTCTTATATTATAATTTGATTATCAAATGTAGTATGCCGACTCCGTAATTTTAGCATGAGTACACGATCTTACAATTTATCTCGTATTGATTGATTATCGACACATTTAGAGAGTTAATTTCGTTACCCATTTTGAGATATACCTAGTTTGAGACATGACTTTATATAATAATATGTATTTACAAAGGCGGTCAAAAAACTCTAAAACATTATTGATTCACGGCAGTATTAGGCAGAATGGTCGGTGTACGTTATTTAAAATCACAATTATTTTTTTTTTGTCAGAAGGAAGTCGCCGGACTTCCGCCCTTCTCTGGGGATGGCGGGCGGGGTATGTCAGAGTCGAACTGACTAAAACCTCCTGTCAAATCAGACAAATCACAAAAATCACACAATAGGCATATTTTTATTTTCTCATATTCTACGTTTAACAAACACTAGGCTATTTCTTGTACAAAATAGACAAGAGCATGGAATCCGGATCGAACCCGGATCCCGTTGTATAGTAGTCAGTTCCACAAAACCACTAGCAAACCATCGAAGACTTTGACTTATAAAATGATTCCAAAATACAGCAATGGAATAATTTTATTTATGAATATTTTTTTTTACGTACAACATAACTAAAGTATTATTTGATTTTTTTATATATTATACTAGCTGACCCGGCAGACTTCGTAGTGCCTCAAAAAAAGGAAAAACAAAATTGTTATTTTTATTTAATTTCGAGCATTTTCATATTTATCTACCTTTAATCCTTCTCTGGACTTCCACGAATAATTCAAGACCAAAATTAGCCAAATCGGTCCAGCCGTTCTCGAGTTTTAGCGAGACTAACGAACAGCAATTCATTTTTATATATAGAGATTATATTTAATTTTTACAGTGTAGACCTTTTTTTTGTAAGTTTAAATAAAACCAAACTTAAGTAGATTTGTTGGTCGTTTTAAATTGACTATTTTTTCTATCTCGATATTACAATTATTCTGCATACAATTTTTTAGACAATATTTTCTGTGAACTACCAAGTTTTTATTCATTTTGAAGATTCGAACAGAATTCATTTTCCGAAAATCGTTCGCAAACATTTGAAGTTCCCTCAAGTTTAGTAACTATTGGACTTACTTGGATAGTTCGCTGGGCTCCGCGCTAGTCGTGACGTCGTCTGTGAAGTTTATATTGTTTTCAGACATGATTCCGTTCACCTGGAAAACATAAAAAATTATTAGTAAAATATTTTGAGATCCAGTTTATTTGAGGAAAAACCTTGCAGTAATTTTTATTGTTTAAAATATTCAGAAGGCATATTGATGATCCACCTTGTGTAGTTGATGGTGTCTATAGAAATTACATAACAATATCGCCGTTCAGATTTTGAATCGAATTCTCTGTTGTGATAAACGATGGCTGGCTTTAAAAGCTTGAGATAAAGAGATGCACGGCAATGTGTATGTTCTAACATATGTTCCGTGGGCAGTGCTCTGAGGAATTTAAGACGATCACTTGTCTTCATTTTTACCATCACACCGACCGCCACCGGAGCAGAGTTCATCCATACTACCTAGAATCAATGCGTTCATCCGCAGTGCGTTTCCGGAGATCTTTTCTGGCACGTACCATCCGGTTGTGGATTTACTTCCCTTCTCAGTATTTTTTGAGCGATATGACATGCCTTTCCTAAGCCCTGGTTTGCGGGAAGTACTCAGAATTAGGCAGCCGCCTGGCACTATCCCTGGCATTGTTGATGTCCTTGAGCGACAGTGACCACTCACGATCAAGTGGGAGGTAAAGGGCAATAGAAAACAATACCTTATTAAATCAAACAATGAAAATTAAGCCTTATTAGCTGATTAAATTGGCAATGTCTAGACTCGGAGCGAAGCCGGAAATATCAATTTAAATCCTTAATTTAATCAGTGATTTCTAACTGTCTTTTGATTTTAGGCTTCATCAAATAACGTACTTAATGTATATTAAAACAGGAACATTTAGAAGTAATTAGCTATGACTATCTCATTTATTTTTCAATAATGACATTAGATGATTGATGATTAGTTTCAACAGTCAAAACCGGTCCACCGATCACTCATATCATTCATGATGACCTGTACAATTAGGCTTTAGTTTAAGACATGACTCAGCTACTCAGTTTCTTTGTAGAACGGATACATCCAACGATGTATTCAAATGAGACTATTCCGGTGTTTTAATTGATTTCACAAATTCTGAGACACGCTTTAAAGAGGCGCTTCCTTGATCTTCGAAGACAGCGGCGTCAATTTATATTTTGTGTCAGCAAAATTTGTACCCAAGTTTTACTTGGCGTAGGCATTTTTTTTACGAATATTTAAATGAAGTATATAAATATATACTACTGGCCGTACTCGCCCGCTTCGTTATGCATTTAAAATTAACTTTATTATTTATTGTCATTATTATTAGAGAGTTCAACACTCATATAAGTATTAGCCTATCCATTAAGTACATGTATTTTCTACATGGATACCAAGTTTCAAGTCAATCGGATGCATGGTCCAGTAGTTATAACGGAACATCCGTAAAAACCACTGTAGATTTATATATTGTTGGTCATATGTTAACAAAGATTAATAAGTTAATATTAATAAATGTATCACTATGTCCTGCTAGTAAAGCGTACAAATATTAAGTATAATCTACATAAAAATAAAATGAGTATAGATGAACAATATTGATTAAACGTTTTAGAAGTGAATTTGAGTCCAATTGATTTCTGAGTTGTAATAACCAAATATTACATTTCAGATACCATTATGTCGAGGGGAGAAAGGTTATATTTGATTTAAGTGACATTTTGCAACTTTAAAGGTGAGACATTGAAAGTTTAATATTTTGAAAAAATATCATAACAATAAAACTTCTTCAGCTATTTTAATGGAGTAAATTTAATTGAAGTTCAATTAAAAACATCGAACTTTTGATACTAACATCAAATAAAGTGCACCTTTAATTACAAAGATAAATGTCATTTATTACGCGAAATTCCGCTTAAACCAAATAGCCTTCGATATGATGATAAATAAAATGATGAAAATGTACGTAATTTCTTGGACCAATCACACTAATTATATCGTTTTCAAAGCTGAAGTCACAAACTATAAGTCCCAGACACGTAGTAATGCTTCATATAGATTTCATTCGTTATCTCTTTTCAAAGTCATATTCTAAAGCATCTATAAGTTTACCGAATAAATACATGAGACAACTAATTAAGAGGGGCCGACTGTCTGCTCTGCAATTGTTTGAAATGCTTAAGTCCCAATTTAGGTTATTTAACGCTTCCGACCACCGTCCGACAAAAGACGACGTCTCTATCGCTTTGTATTATTAAAAGGAATATTGTACAAGTAAGGAATATTCCAAAGTTTCAGACTCTATAGTTCCCTTTGACGATTACGAACAATGTAACACCGGTATTGCTTGACGAAGTTTCAACTGAATTTGCGAAAATTTCGAAAATTGGAACTGTGCGAGATTTTTAACTTCTCGATCGCGTAAAAGTTAACTCAGATTTGTATGGAGTTGGAACAGCGCCACCTAGTGGCAAACGAAGGAAAGCTGTTCTAACTCCATACAAATTTGATTTAAATCGCAGCACACTGTAAACATTCATTTGTCACGTTTGTTTGTTTTACATATTTCTTGACAACTAGCCAATTAAGGTACTTAATATTGTGATTTCAATTCAATGTTTCGACCATTGTTATCATTAATCCATTTTTTCCTTAAGAAGAAAAACAATCAATAATTCTTGTTATTTACAAAATTTTCCGCAGAAATGAAGCCCATTTCTCGCACAAGGCAAATGAGTTGGTAACCAAGGAATATCTTAAATAATCGATAAATCTATTTTGGGTCCAACTTGAGATGTACGACTCTCTACCCCAAGACAATCAACTGACTTCGGGGAGCTATTAACGATGGAAAAACCTGGTAGGTTTTGGACCTTTGCGCTTAATGTACCTCCACAAGTCTTACTATCGTTTCTCGAATCGTATCTACTTGATTTGATTTTTTTAAGGGATTTTATGACCTGGTAACTAAGACCTTTAAGTCATGTCTTATTTTAATTTATATTCTTATTTTTATGAAAAATGATAGTATGGAGTGAAATGAAATGAAGATGATTAATTTGAGACATTAATCAACTGGGATGAAACGAAACGAAATGAGATGAGATGATATGGGATGAAATATAATCTCAATAAATGGTGGTCATTTACTGAAATTTTTTCAGTGGACTTTTTGGAGGATCTCGAGAAGTTACGTCCAGCGACTTTGTTTCATTTTCCCACATTTGTGCATTTTCACAGATATTAAATAGCTGTTAATAAACCACCGTTATTACACATTTAAACCTGAATAAACACTACATAGACAAAATAAAACAAATCACACAACATCATTTCTCGCGTTCCCGCCAAAAAGTCACTTGATTTGATAATATTCATTTTCTTTTACCTACATACCAAATTATTAAAAATGGTGTACCAAATACGTGTACAATAAAATTATGTAGTAAAACATTGACAGAACATTCCCCTTTTTATCTTTTAATTATAAGCAATTTAAAAATGAACCAAAACGTTTTAATTCTAGTTATTAGTTTCAAATTATATTGTAGCTTCCAACTTTTCGAAGACTTTTATTATTTCTTTTCAGAAAGGTGTCTTTTGTAAAAAATCCGAAATTGTAAAATATAAAATAAAATTTGATTATAAAAAAGCTTAAAATAAAATCGCACATACTTTAGAAAATATTATATATATGAAAAATCTAATTTTGTTTTTAATTTTATTTGAAGCTTGAAGAGTGTCGGCTATTGCTCTCCGCGACTGTGACTATAGATATGATATAGAACTTGGTCACTTTTGACGTGACAACGTCTTATAATTCGATGGAGCCGGCTGCACGCACGAAATAACATGACTCATGCGGCGTTACCTCGCTCTGAGGCATACATGCACAATACATTTACATGTTTGGTCAAGTATGAAGTTCAGTGAATGTGGTGTCAATCGTTTACAGCAACGATAATTGCGATAATTGAAAAATGAAACCATTCCATCAGTATTTTGTTATGACGTTGTCACGTTCAACTATCGTCAGTAATCCGACTTTACAGACAACCGATTTTTTCAATATATTTTTTGACGAAAATCCAAGTACAAACACATGGCCCATTGATCATTCTGTCATATTGTATAATACATACCTATCATTAATTATTAGGCGAGAAGATATTTTCGACCACATAATTACGCAAATACGCATTTTAATATAGTAAACAAAACATAATCTAGCCGTTGTAATGATAAATCTATATTCATTATGTATTCGTAAAATTATCTAAAAGTTACATACTGAAACGCATATATTTGTTTGGATTCGCAATTCTAAGTCGGTATTACTTCGTAGCATTAAGTAAAAATATCAGTACTATTTTTGGTTGGGTCGAAAACAAGCGATGCCTGGGGACTACGGGATCCCATTGCAATATCCGCGATTGAGTCAAACCATTCTTTTGAATACTCCTACGGTTTTTCCGTAACTTTCGATGTAAGGGAAGTAAATGGCAGTTTGTTGTTGTTATTCCTAACTTAGTGATTTCGTTAGTGAAAGCACTTTATGTGATGCTCAGATAAAACTGCCAACATTTGTTTTACGTTCTAACTTTTTTTGGGGAAATTATTGACGGGATTTTTGAAATGAATAATTTAGAATGTACAGGTACTGCCAATACAAGAAAAAAAATACTTTTTTTCATTTTGATTAAACAAATATGATGAAGCGGGAATGAAATTTACTGGTGGTAGAACCTCTTGTGAGTCCGCACGGGTAGGTACAACCACCTTGCCTATTTCTGCCGTGAAGCAGTAATGCGTGTTTTTTTGAAGTGTGGTGCAGCCTTTGTACAACCACCTTGCCTATTTCTGCCGTGAAGCAATAATGCGTTTCGGTTTGAACGGTGGGGTAGCCGTTGCTACTATACTGAGACCTTAGAACTTATATCTCAAGGTGGGTGGCGACATTTACGTTGTAGATGTCTAGGGATTCCGGTAACTACTTAACACTGGGTGAACTGTGTGCTCGTCCATCTCTATGCAATAAAAAAAAAATATGCGAACGAACAGTTATTATCTGATCCTATTTTAACTCGTCATCA